GTCATTATCCTCCCTTGTATTTATCCATATGTTGTAGTTATCCTAATCATTATAGGATTAGGATAATCATCCCCTTTATTTGTAGCAATCCTTATCTCCTAAGGAATATGCTTTATTCTCTTGTATGTATATATATATGTGTAACCACGTGATTAATAATACAATGAGAGTTACAACCTTCTTCTTTATTCTTTAACATCATCATTTATTTTACCTTTTATATGGTTTCCGACATAAAAATAAGAAGATTTAATGTTATTGTTATTACTATTTTCCGTAATCTTAACAACCTGTTATTATTTAACTGTCTTTTATACTAACCAAGAAGCATTTTATCACTAATTGGAAAATTGTAATCAGCTTCTTGTGAGAGACAAACTGGTCGGCGAAAGATATTTATAATAAGACATTTCGCTTGCTTTTGTTGATACAAATAAGCTTAATTCCATAGAGGTATTCATATATTTACGAAAAAACACTATGCTGATACCAAAATCCAGCTGTACGGACTTGTAAACGTCGGCAGCCAACGCATTGCTGAAAACTTGTCCTTTCTTGAGCGTCAATTAATCCAAAAACTTGATATTACGTTTATCATGAATTTGTCTAAAAGGTTACTTTATAATCTAAAACGTTTGCCTTTTATTTTGTGCTTTTCATATCAATATGGTTTAAGATACTAAAACTTCATTTACTAGCAATGCCTAGGCGTACTCTCTAATCCAAACTGATAAATATAAAAATGGAAAAGGATTTGACCGTTTTAAGCCCTTTTGACCGGGTCTAGATACTCTTAGAGAAAAATCCGATGTTTTTTAAGAAGCTAAGGTATCTTTTGCCTTCGCTAAGCATGGGACTTCTGAATTTTCTAACCATCTACAAGTCAGAAGTACCATTTCTTGTCATTAATTAGTCTTCTATGGACCTAATAACTAAAATAAAATGATAAGGTGACTAAGTTACAGCTGTACGATTTTGTTGTGAAAGCTTAATCAACTCATTCAAGTTTTTTTTTTTAATCACTGTCATCTTCTTCTCTTGAAAAAATATTTTTATCTTTGTTTGCTATTGTACTTTATGTTTCTTATATAAAAAGATGATTAATTCTCTGTTGTTGTACTAGGTACTAAATTTGAAGTTGAATGGAAGTTGTGTTACAAAGGGTAAATATTAAGCCAATGTGTGATCGCCCAGTTCGTGATTTGTATTAAGTACTAACTTGAGTTGTAAAAAAGGTTTTGTAAATGATTGGTTGAACTATACCATAGAAATTTTACTAAATATTTTTTTGATGTAACTGTATATGATGCAACTGTAAGAATTAAATTAATAAAAAATTAAAATGAAAAAAAATATTCTTACCGTAATATTCTTTCTACTAAATAATGCTTTAAAAAAAGAGTTGTTGCACCATTTTTTTCTTTAACTTTAAAAACTAGACTAGATATAACATGACTGATATTTTTTAGTTGTAGGTAGAATTTATACAAGTATTTGAATATAAACACGATCTTCGTTAACATTTCTAACTCCCAATTGACGATGTATTATTGTATTACTGTCATCAATGTATCATTATCAAACAAAACCACAATATGATATAGAGAGTGAACTTCCCATATAATCAGCCCAGTGAAAAGAGAATTTATCTCAAACAAATAAATGAAAAAAACAACCTAGGACTTATAATGTGAAGATGTTCATGGAGCTGAAGATTAATGTTGGAAACAGAGAAAACAGACTAGTGCACTGCAGGATAAATTACTTAGCAAAACAGATCAGACCAGTTTTCTTTCCATCTAATCTTTGTATCTACAGAGAAAAACGCTAAAAGTTTTTACTGCAAACAGTGTGTGTGTGTGTGTGTTATTTTAACCTAGTACGGTAGTACGAGATGGATAGAATGTGTGAAGCAGATAATGGATAATATAACTTCCAAATCCCGTAACATAGATTGCCTAGAACTAGAATCGGCCATGTGGAGCAGAAACATATAAGAGCGTGGAAATTCTCAAAAAAAAAAAAAGGTAAGAAACCTTGCATACTAAAAAGCATGTAGTCCTTATATCATGAGTTTCTGGTGGAGGGGCCGAGGAGGTATATAATTAGTATTGATACAAATATTGCAAATTAGTATATCAACATGCACCACACACAATTCTTCATAAACGAAACATTAGAGAAATGATGCATACATACAAAGGCCATTAACATTCGTTTCACACGCTAGCCAATATAGATGAACTATATCCATTTCTATCATCCCAGAATTTAGACCAAAGCATTATTCCTCCGTACTTCCCAGACTTCTTTAGTGTTGGAAGAATCTGAGAAATTAATACATCCGGCGGAATATACCCACTTCCTGCTGCTTCAGGAGCAGCCGGGAGACCTAGAAAGATTTTTTGAGCAGTGACCGAAGTGGTCCACGTGTTCCAAGAATCGAATAGTCTCTCGGTATTACCTGAAGTGTATTGACACGGTGCATTGTTATAGAATTGGACCCAAACGTAGTCGAATAGTGTTGTGTTAAGTGCACTTCCCATTAGTCTGTCTGGGAATGGACACTGAGGAGCTCCTGTTAGATACACTTTTCTTCCTTGGTTGTTAAATTTAGAGAGATACCTGCCCAAAAATAAATATTAAGTTTAGCTTGATACTTTATAAGTGATATTCTTAAAATTGTTTTTTCTTTAGGGTGTAAATGTGAGAAAATAAGCATCATTCCAATAGAGTATCCATCACATAAGCATCTAGTTTTGGATATATAGTTTTTCTATTTTCTATTATGATTAGCAAAAAAAAAATCAAAACGGTAACTGGATTATTACCTAGCGAGATTATCCCAGTGTTGAGCGGAGCCAAGCTCGATATTGAAATCGATACCATCAAGAACAGCATCACCTAAGGGACGTGACGATGATTTTCCTCCCAAAAAGTTGTTCCACAAGTAATCCGCAACCACCTTGGCGTCCTCTCTAGACCCAATCGAATAGTTTCCGATTCCGCCACCGAGAGACAACATAACCTTACCATTAAAAATGTGATTTCAAAATTAATAATTCATCCTTTTTCAAACAACACGTATTATTTAGAGATTTTGGTCTAGATGATAAAAATACTAATTAATACAAACCACAAAATTACAACTCATTTTATTTCTAGACTATCAATCTTGGTCAACTAACCAATTACAGGATCTAAATTTGAGGTAAAAAAAACTTATATATATTTCCATCTCAAGAAGTCATCTAGACTTAAACCAATATGTAATGGTCCAACCTTGATGCCACGAGACTGACACTCTTTGACCTGAGAGCCAATATGGGTGCAAGTGTTGGCCGCAGGGTTGCAGTGGCCGGCAAGGTTAAGCTCAGGCGTTTGGCCGTCACCGAATTTCACAAGAAAGGCGACGTTGACGTAAGCATACCTGCCGGTGGCACATGTGGACGAGAGATTACCTTCGTTGCCGTTTTGGCCCCAGTAGATGGCTATCCCTGCGGTTGCATCAGAGGGTTTGCTAAGAAAGAAGATTATGAATAAGAGTATGAAGAAGACAAGGAGTAAGACAGGCTTGAGAAATTTTATGTTACTCATAGTCTTGTTTTGATGATTTTGTCTTCTTCTTGGTTTGTGTTGTTTGTTATTGCTAACTTCTTTTATAAAAGACGAGTTTCCGAGAAAGAAACTTATACAGTATTTGCTTTTCCTTTATTGTATTTGTCTTAATCTGTGTCTCGCACACACATTGCATTAGGCATGACTTTTATTGGTAGTCTATAATCCTCTTGTCAAAATATATCGCTTCTCTATTATTAAAAGAGAAGTACCCACTAAAAAATACCTCTAAGTTTTCCAACTTATTTACACTCATATGCCACTGAGAATTTAATTAAACTTCCTATTTAAATACTTGTCTTTTTCAGTTATATTAATTAAACATCCTATTTAAATGCTTGTCTTTTTCAGTTATATTAATGAGTTATTTAATCAACCAAAAAATACCTGCATCACTAACATGTCTTTTTCACGTATATTAATGATAACTCATTTACTGCATCACTAACATCACTGATATATTACATGCATCTAAAATGTGTATCAATAAAAC